CCCCCCCCCCCCCAGGCTTCCCACTGCCCCTGGCTCCCCATGCGGAGCCCTTAGGGGTGTGGCTGGTGCATACCTAGCAGCAGAGCCTGCTGAGCCTGCATCCTCGCCTGCTCCCCCCTGGACCTCTTGGACCTTCTCCTCCGAGGCCTGGCGCTCCAGCCGGAGTGCCTGCTGCTGGATCTGGAGGCCGTGGCCGGATTCCTTTTCCAAGAGCTCTTCGGTGGCCTGTGGGGGAAAGTGGGAGGAAGGAAGCATGAAATTGGGCACAGCAGGGCCGACCTGTCCCCTCTGCCAAGTTCCTCCTCCGAGCTGGGACCAGCGGAGCACTCACCACTCCCTGGTCGGAGGCTTACCAATCTCCTCTCCGACCTGCCTGGGATGGCAGCGGAGGCCTGGCCACAGCAGCCATCCTGGACCATGTGAACCCAACCCTGGTCCACAGCTGATGGGACTAGAGGGCACCCCTGGTCCAAGCTGGACCGGTCATTGGGAATTGGGTGTTAGGAGGCAGGAAGAGAGAGAACAAGAGAAAGAAACAGACAGACACTGACTAGATGCCTTCAAAGTTAACACTCAGGAGAACAGCCCTACCAGCACCTGATGTTAGGACTTCTGACCTCCAGAACCGTAGGGTAAGAGCTGTGTTGTGTTAAGCCACCCAGTTTGTGGTCATTTGTTACAGCAGCAATTGGACACCAATAGAGTTTCTTTCTCTTTTTTTGGCAACAGAGAGTTCCAATGAATACATTTTGAAACGAGAACTGAGGCTAGAAGAGATAAATCCGCGTTTCCAAGGTCACACAGAAAAGATGCAGGAATCATCCCCTCCTCCTCTCCTTTTCTTTTTACAGAGGAGGACACGGGCTCAGGAAGGTGAAGTGACCTGCCTGACGATAGGGAGACGGGGTGGTGGAGCAGGACATGGTGGAGGCAGGATGGTAGCCATGGGCTGCGGTGTCCACTCCCTCAGGCAACCTCTGGGAACAGTGAGAAACGGGATTTCCACCTGAGGGGACAGAGCCATCCTGGAGCCTGAGGCAGCTGACTGAATGCCGCAGCGCCTGGCCTTGCCGATCCCCAGCAAATGTGGAGACACGGTCTTACTCCTCCTCCCAGGGGAGGCTCAGTCCTCTGGGGTGAGTTCATTGAATAAGGCAGCGAAGGCTCCCACCATTCAAACTCTCTGATTGTTCCTCCTCTTGCTGCAAGACTCACAGAACTCCATCCCCAGTGAAACAGGAATGGAGAGATGGAAGTAAAGCTTTGCAAAAGACCTTGTTGGAGAAGCTGATGGCGGCAGCTCGCTGGTGGAGTCCGTCTCTGGGTTGTGTGGGCCAGAGCTCGTCCATAGTTACTGGGGAAGCGGGAAGAAGCCTCCACAGAACAGGTGAGCCCCGGTGGGTGGTGCTCAGAGAGCACGGGGCACCCATGCAGGCGTGAGGGCTGGAAGGCGTGCTGTCATCAGAGACCCCCGGAAGGTAGTCATTGTGTTTGGGCCAGGACTTTGAGGTCACCACGAGGTCACCGAGGCAGAATATAACCTGATGTCCACACACCACTGCACAACTGTGCAGCAGAAGCCAGAAACAGAGCAAAACGTAGCTGCCAGAACCAGAAAGAGAAGCCTCCTTCCTCCTGAAAGGTGCCTCCAGCGCCCTCTCCTGGCAAAGCTTAACACTGTGCTCTTTGCAAAGGAGCAATGCTCAAGAGTCCAGATCATGACCGCAGGACAGGCGCTGCAGGGTGAGTTGGGATCTGAGAGGCAGTACACTGAGAACAGAAGGCAAATCTTCTAGTATTGGATAGGTCTGGTGACTTTTACTTCCCAGTATTTGACGTCTGCTGACTTTTATTTAATTCTCACACCGTGCTGGCAGGATCGCCTGCTGCCAGAATCAAGGCCTCACTGGGTGTGATTTCAAGCCGTGTTGTTACAAACGTGCTGCTGAGAAGCATGTACACAACAGACACTCAAAGCCAAGCTGGGAGATGAAGGCTGTTTCCCACGTCACCGGGGAGGTGGACCCAGGAATCCCGTTTCTATTCACTTGTTTCCAGCCGCCAGGACACCAGAGACGGGGCCATTCTTCTCAAAGGAGACGAACCCCCTCCCCCCGAAGTAACCAAGGACCCCAGTGTTCTTCTCAGTCCTCCTCCAGCCAAAGCACACTTCTGAAGGAGCTCCTCATCTAAGCTTCAGCCACCAGGACTCAAAGTGGCGACTCCGTCTACATGTGCAGCTGTCACGTCAAGAATCAGCTTATGTACATGAGGAAGTGCTGAACATCAGCCACATGCAGGCGTGTGAGGTGCAGGAAGGATTAAGATGAATAAAAAACAGTTCTTTATTTTAACAAACTTATGGTTCAGTGCGGGGGACCAACAGGCCATGTAAATGACAAAAACATCTCCCTCCTCTCTCCCCTACACATTGTTTACCTGGCATTTTGGACCAAAGTACATCATTTAATATATATTTTATTAATTTTTTACAGAGAGGAAGGGAGAGGGATAGAGAGTTAGAAACATCGATGAGAGCTGAGACCGGGTTTGGCTCAGTGGATAGAACATCAGCCTGTGGACTGAAAG